CGATGTAGTTACTCGCGTATTCACGGTGCTTTAGGCAGACTGCCAAGAAGCCCTCATGCATGAAGTACCGGTCAGCGACACAGATATAAGGTATCTGCTCAATCCTGATGATGTAGTTCATGTACAAGGCAAAAAGGTGGACAAATGTAAATCCAACCTTTTCAAGTGAAACATGTCAAAGATGTAATCGAATCGAAGGAAGAACTTTTCCGCGGGGAATGTGTCGATGTACAACCTTTGTTGCGGCACGTTAACCATATAGAGCGGGTATCATGGATTTTGTGAGGCGGTCAGGCTTTTTACTCTTCGCAGCACATCGTCATGAAGTCTCCTGAGATCGCCGTATATGGCCTCTACCACTTCCTTAGGTAGGATCGGATCACCGGGGATATGGTATTTCGCCACACCTATGACAAGTATATGGTCTTGAACCCGAGGCTGCGGAGGCGGCTGCCTCATAGAAGCAGCTTCGTTGCCTTTCCTCGGTCTCTTCCTATGCTTCTTTGCTACTAGAAGGTCGTCTATAATATGTTCATCCTCCGGCAATTCATGCACCGACTCATCACGCTCAAACCCTGAGTACTCATACCGCTGAGCCATCAATCCTCGTAGTCATAGGCGCTACTCATGAGATAGTGTAGAGTGCCATCGTCATCCTCATTGATGGCATCGATATCATGCATTGCTTCTTCGATGGCGGCGACATCATCAGCGAATAATGGAGCCTCTTCCACACCCGTCTGCTATCACCTGGCACGACAAGGGACGCTAATTGGGTAGGTGGGGTGTTGATGTTCATACCTTGCTGAGGTTGTGTGGTCGTGGGTGTGCTCCTGACCGCCTCCAGACAAAGCAGACTCTTTGGCCACAACAGGACCCAACTCTTGCAATCGCCAAGCTGCCGCGGAGTCTTGTCGTCATCTCCCCCTAGTACCGGAGGAGCCAATTTCTCATGGCCTGGTTTGACACTGGCCACGGAAACCTTGAAGAAGTCAGGGGGATCGGTCGTCTGTGGAACAATTGTTCCTTCGGCTTCACTATCGTCGCATTCCCCACGTCCACCTTCTGGCCGCTGATAGTGTACAATATGGTGCACGGGTTACGTCAGCCTGCAAAGACCGGTCTCGGTGCCGGTGTCAGTCTCAGCATCAGTCTCGATGTCGGTCTCAGTCTCGGATGTGACAGGTGGGCCCTGCAACAACCGTTGCTCATCAATAAGGTTCAAATAGGCGTCTGCCGCTGCGTAGACGTTGCAATCACCAGAACCCTGTCCTTCATCATTGCTAGCCATGTTTCCTATGATTAAATCTAGTCAATTAGCTCTAGACCTAATAAAATGAATAATGACATAAAAAGTACAATGTTTTGCAGGAATGTTGATTCATTTCCGTTGCGGCAAATCCCGGGCACTCGATATGTCATGCCGAAATTCACGGAAAATTTTGCATATAACATGACCACTTCAATGTTTGACACTTCAATTGTCAATTAGTTCTACAATCGAACCACTTCAATGTTGCATATAACAGGACCACTTAAGAACCTGTACATGAGCAACTACAACAGTAGATATTCATGAGAAAACACTATTGAGGAATTTGCATATAACCTGACCACTTCAAATTTGCATCTCCTAGTGTTTGACACTTCAAGAAAATCTACACAAATCTCATGCTCTCTCAAACTCAATTCAAAAACCAAATATAGATGGATGAACCCTGGAAACCTAGAACCTTTACATATTTCTGTCCTAAAATTGCTGTCCTAATATAAATTATGAACCCTAGAACTCAATTTATGTCCTAAATTTCAAATTATGAACCCTAGAACTCAATTCAAATTATGTGCTAAATTTTCGTCATAATAAAAAATCAGTACAAATTAAGAACCTACTAGACTTGCAGTACTAATAGAAATTTATATTTTTATATTGATTTTTTTCTCTAAACTAAACACTACTGCCCTAATTAACATCTAGTTAAACCCTACTACCCTAGTACTTAAGCATCTACAAGTACTAACTAGTTAGATGAACCCTAGCTAGGTACTTAAGCATCTACAACTACTTAGCACCCATTGATGAACCCTAGGAATTTGTCTTAAAAACTACTTAAGCATCTACAACTACTGCCCTAATTAACATCTACTCCCTCCGTTCCAAAATAGATGACTCAACTTAGTACAAAGTTGGGTCATCTATTTTGGAACGGAGGGAGTAGTTTACAATTATATTTACTTAACTACATTGGGTGCACAACAACTATATAACTACTTAAGCATCCACAAGTACTAGCTAATTTGATGAACCCTAACTAATTAGATGAACCCTAACTAATTTGATGAACCCTGAAATTTGATGAACCCTAGGAACCCTAGCTAGGTAGATGTAGGGGAGGAGGAGGAGGTGTAGGCGTGCTCACCTCGAGCGCCGACGGAGTTAGGGGGCATGAGGAGGCAGAGCAACGAGGGAGGGGCACATGGCGTCGAGGTCGGGGTCGGGGCTCGGGCGTGCGGCGAAGGGCGGGACCAGACGGCCACCGAGGGCAGCTGAGGGTGTATGGAGGGCGACGGGAGAGCGCGCGGCGGCCGATGGTGATGTAGGGCGACGACGGCGGCGACAATAGATCGAGGGGGGATTTGGGAGAAGTGGTCGGGGGAAAGAAAAACCGCGCGGGGGGTTAAGTTAAAAATAGCAGTAGCGCTGGCTTCCAAAACGCGCTATTGCTATAGGCAGTACCTATTCATTTTCCTTTTTCTTTTCTTTTTTCCTTTTCCTTTTCTATTTTACTTTTCTTTTTTCCTTTCTGCTTTATTTAAGGAAATTATCTATAGCAAGGGTACAAGAACGTGCTACTGCTACATTAGATATAGCGCTTGTTCTGAAAGCACGCTACTGCTACGCCTTTCTCCTTTATTTTTATTTTTCTTTTATTTTCCTTCACATTTATTTTCCTTTCCCCTTTTTCTATTCCTTTCATTTTCGTTTACTTCTCTATATGTTTTTCACTTTATTTTCTTTTCATTAGTAGTAGCGCTTTTCTCAGAAAACATGCTACTACAACCAACTTAGCAGCAGCGCACTTTACATAAGCTCGCTATTACTATTCCTAGCCTGCCAAGAACAGTGTGGGAATTGTAGTAGTAGCGCTTCTTCCTGCAAACGCGCTACTGCTATAACCATAGTTGTCGCGTATTTTGTGACCAGGCGCTACTGGTAAATAGCAGTAGTGCTTATTTTTGACCGGCTCTACTAGTAAGCTTCTGTGTATAAGGTTTTCCCTATTAGTGCTTCTTTTTGTCGTCAGCAGCCCCTTTTTTTCTAGAAGTTCTTCTTTCTTTTTCTAAGTAGCTTAATTTCTTCTTGTTCTTCTTCTTCTTTCAACTTTGCAATTGTTGTGTCAAACTTGGCTTGGTCTGCTATTTCTCTTCTTTCTGCTCCAGCTCTGAGTCTTGCAATTGCAATAATCTCTCTTTTTCTATGAACATCCCCTCCCTTAGTTACAGTACTTTGTACAACTGGTTGTTGTTGAATGATCAAGGTAAATCATATGAAATCTATGCCCTTGATTGATGTTAGATACATCGGATCAATGTCTGCATCGTTGGACAGAAGCCTTGCACCATCTCCATTAAGTTGACAACCAGGGGCAACCAATACATATCAATTTTGCCTTCCTTCTCATAAGCAATGTCCTCAAATTAAAGCTTCAAACATTTTATAGTAGGTAAACTCTATGTGGCAGTAATCACAGCAGATTTTTTTTGTCATGCAAATAGGACCTATTCTGTCCACTCTGTCCACTTCTAGAGAAAAAACCTCCATGGATGATATCCAAAGTGAAGAAATCGCATCCAGCCGCTGCAAAACAGAACACACACAAAATTCAGCTGCAAAACAGAACACATGGTAAATTCATAATTTTTCCCGAACAGAACCCAAACCCTAGCACAATGAGCCCTTAATTTCGTTGAATCCATGTATCACAATGAGATAATGTGTGCTAAATATTCTAATCCAACTCGAAACAAATTGATTTAATCAAAAATCTGTACTTTAATATGATGGTAAATACCGTACGATGGTGCCACCTCGCCCTCGAGCCGTCGTCTGGGGGCCTCCATGGCTGACTCGAATCGTCGTATGGGGTCATGGCTGCGTCGCTCTCCCGTCCGCACTAAGATCAGAACGCCGCCAGGCCGCCGATCATCCGCCGTCACTAGGTTGCTGTTGGGTTTGAGCGGGGTTTGTGCCGGGGTTTCAGTTCGTGGAAAGGAACAGATGGGGGCATTTCAGTTAGTGTAGAACGACCGGGATGGATTGGGTAGAATGCAAAGTAATCAGCCCTTTGACTCGGTCCGCCTAACATGTGGGACCTATGCTGTGGCAGTGGATGGATACGGGCTACGTAAGTGAGGTGTATAGTCAGGACCGCTGTTGCAACCTCAAGGACTGTATAGACGTCCTATTCACATGTATAAGGACTGTACTGAAGCATTTCCTGACTATGAGGACGATGTTAGACATTTGCCTGCAACTATAAGGACTAACATGCAATTATCTCCGAAAATTACGGACGCACTACATTTGGAATGTAGGGAGTAAGTCATATACGATGTGGTCCAAATAAAAACTGTTATGGGTAATATACATGAGAGGTGTTAGCTGTCAGTCAGTGGTTGCATCGTGTCCAGCGGTTCCAGTAATGGCTTTAACTAATTCCTGGCTCCTCCAGCGGATGGACCCCTTCTTAATCCTTTTTGTATTTCCAGCCCCCCAAAATCTCCCCACTTCTCTCGGAGTTGTGGTTTCTTATTATGGGAGTTCATGTCTGGCTAGGGGGGAAACGAATTCGGCCACATCTCCGGGTCGATCCACTAGAGGTAATCTCCGCCGTGATGCTCTAGAAGAATTTGTTCAATCGATTTGGGAGTTGTTTCCTTGTTCGCATTTCTTGCCATTTTCTTGGAATTGAAGGATTTACGGTGTGTGGGAGAGGCCCATGGAGGTGCACAACGAGGTAGATGGATCAGGTGTACCCCTGGCCGTGCTCCTCAAGCGAGAGCTGTGCAACCAGAAGGTGGAGAAACCGGATATCCTGTTCGGGGAGGCGAGCAAGAGCAAGAAAAGGGAGGACTTCGCGCTTCTCGTGGCCAATTGCCACCGCACTCCAGGCGAGGGCCCCGGTGACAATGCAGGCGGCGACGACACCATCTCGATGTTTGTGGTAACTAGATGACCCGGTGCGCCAATGACGCAAAGGGCGAGAGCAAACCAAGCATTTGAAGCAAGCTCGTCAGAATATTTAGTTATAAGGAAATATATACTTAGGTATGATGCTGATACACAGCGTTATAAGAAGTTTTGATAGCCATTTACAATGCTTTTAAAAAGCAAGCAACATAGGAGAGATGCCTCATATAGATAAGCATACATAATTTGAGCAGAGAAGATTTCTTAGGCCCATTGTGGTCTTCTAAGGGTGTGCATGCATGAATAAGAAGACTTGTTATTGTTGGATAATGCTTGCATGGGCATTCCTCTGAAGGACTTGTCATTTCTCTCCATCCAGATCCCCCATACGGCAACAATGAAAGTTTCCATGAACAGAGGTTTGTGCCAAGTTTGTTTTCCCATGTGCAACATCTCAAGTCTGCATTCAGAGTTTGGCCAAGTCACCCTAGAGAATTGCCAGGGTTTCCTCGGGAGGATTATCACACAGTAGGCATGTATAGTCATTAGTAACTCGGTAGTGCCTCCTGCGTGGCATATTTCTCATATTCAGCCTGTTAGCCAAGAGAAGCCAGGCGAAAACCTTTCCATTTCATATTGCACTTAGCTTTCCAAATCCAGTTAAACGCAGCATCAACCGACATCTCTCTGAAGCAAAATGAATAGTACCTATTTGTGAGAATGCTGGTGGAATCCCCACTTCTCATATGAGGACTGTAGAAGGAGCAATGCATGAAAAAAAAGGAAGTCAAAGTTAGCAGATAGAAACAAAATATGAGGAATGCATCTATCATGCCTCATGCATGTAACTTCTCATAGTAAACGAAACACTGGCAAGCAAACTTCATTCAGCATAGCAAGGGGAGACCAGGCAAACAGAAAAACAGAAATACGGCAACGACTACTAATGCATCAAACTGTGAATTCCAGACCTTTCTTTTAACAGGAATATCCACGTCATCGACCAAAAAGAGGGCACAAACGATGAGCTATATTTAGGAATGAAGCAAATCACATTAGAAAAGAAACCCTTCCGAGTTCATTGCTCTTGCGCACACACAAATGAAATGGAAAACTGTTGTTCTTATGCCCATGATCAAGCCTCTCGCACATAAAAGCTACAATGAGACCTAAAGGGAGGGAAGCTGGAGGAGGAGAAAGGAGAGAGATGACCTGTGTCGCGAGGCTCCTATAGTGCAAACGGTCGTCGTGGCACGCTATGGGCAGTGCTCAGAGTACTCTCAACTCCAGAGAGAATTGCCCAGAGTGATCCAAACTGGTACAAAACAATACATAAATTGTTTGCGTCAATATATGATCCTTTCGGTTTGCGAAGAGTTCAAAACTATCTTACGAATTCTTGCAAGCCTTCTTACTGTACTGATCATGTAAAATCTGTGAAATTATTACAAGTAATTTTTTTCTCTCGAAATCTCCAATCCGATGTTTCAAGATGAGGAGTTGGAGACCATGTTGATGAAAGTAAATTATGAAAGAAAAGAAGCCCATTTCACTATGAATATCTTCGTTATGCAATTCCCATAAAGTAAAACAAAATGGTTTAAATAACCTTTTATCTGGGTAAACTCGAGTTCTTGCATTCCTTTTATTTGACTCACACCTGCCTGCTGCTCATCGCCTACTACTCTTAGCTAAAAGGAGGTGATTCGAATATAAGCACTACTTCTTCCGGCTATACAAATTATTGTGGCCATCAAGTTAATTCAAGCACTCAACATTCTACGACATACATGATCTAAATAGGATTAAACACAAAATAAAAGTTAAATATTGTCAGTACAGATGCTATCATATATACATCAAGTTAATTCAAGCACTCAACATTCTACACAAATTATTGTCAGTACAGATGCTATCATAGAGTTATCTACAAAAGCTAAATAGGATTAAACACAAGACAAAATAAAAGTTTGTCACACCAAATCCCTGTCACCTAATCTCTTTCTCACTTTTAACTTCAAACCAACATCGAAAACGATAATAATCTAAAGCAAAATTAAATCAGACTCATTTGTTCATCGACACAGAAGCAAATAATTCACCTAATACTAAATCTAAGTAAAAGGACTAACCATAATTAATTGGCTAGGCTGCCCATCAAAAGAAACCTCTGCATAAGAAGCAGACCTTGCAAAAACTTGGGACTAATCAGGTGGATCTAAAACAAAACATGTCCTCAACTCCTCTTGCAGTCCTGCTCCAACCCCTCGTGTATCTCGGCACCTCCTCGCGTTAAGACCATAGTAGCCGGGAACGCGGGTCGACGCCGTGTCCCGTGTACCGGGTTCATCGACCCCAATCGACGGTCGGGATCGAGTGCGGGTCAATAGGATTCGACGACGGTACGCATTCCCATGAAGACCGGACATTGCAGGTACAATGGCCTGAATTAAGTGGTACCATGACCTGAATTAAGTGGTAGCATGTATTGGTGCCTGTGAAGCAAGAGCAAAAAATCAAGAACCTACAAAAAAATCTTTTGGATAACATGTGTGCATTACATGGTTGCAAAGGGTTAAGAGGCAAATTACCTGTCCTTGACTAAGAACTAATTGACAAGCTGCTGCAGCTACCATAAACGCCACACCTAAATACATCCACACAAATTGTAGGACAACCCATAAGCACCTGGGTACCCAAAAAATATGTCTAACATAGTTAGCATCAATTAGCAGGGGCTAAAATAAGCACAGCAGACCATACACAAAAGTAAAAGGCAGTTTATCATTGGGAAATCATTGGGTCTGGGCGTATGAAAATACCCCATGGCTCTGGAGATGAAGGATGGCTACAACAATCAAAAGAAAAAGCATGTACCTTTGACATTCAGTTGTTTCAGCAATGCCCAAAGTATATGGTATAAAGTTCTGTGAATATCCAATCCAACCCTGCAAGCGTTTGAAGGAACATGAGTTAGCAACAAATGATATAATCTGATAAGGGATCTTACAGTCCTCAATTAACTCATTTACATGGTTTCCAAAATCGTGGGGTACACGATTTCTAAAATACAGTCAATTAGAGTGGCTCACATGCATCAATAACATCTCGGTATTGGCATCAGAAGCTATTTTTATGGGCAAAAATCCCCAAATAATCACATGGACAAAGAAAAGCTATTTTCATACAGCGATGTAGAAGTTCTTATGAGAGGAGGCCACAGAAGATTGGGCGTGTACTGATCCTTCATTGCCTGAATATAATAACAGAGGGAACGATGTGTGAAGCTCACCTTGATGTATTGAAAGGCAAAGGTAGAACAAACATAGTGATCCAAGCCAAGAGAAGTAACAAAAAACAGGAATATATTCATGTTAAATTCATGGCAGACACATAGATGATTAAATATGCCAAAGGCAGCAATAGACACAAAACATCATAATATGTGTGGACAAAGCTAAACTAATTTGAGAGTGGCATTCCATGAAAATACACAAACCAGAGGTGCAGTAAATGAGGCTCGAATTCCATGACCAAATCAGCATACAGACGCAGAGAGGTCCTCTCACCCTAGAGCAACCAAACAAAGGTGCAGCAAAAGGAAACCGGCGAGGAACCTGCAACAAAAAACAGATGATTGCTACAGGTGGTGAACTAATACAAAACGAGACCACGGTGAGCGGGACGGTACCTCTGATGGTTTGATGGCATTGTTGGAAATAAATAGTCCACATGAGCACGACCAAGTTGATGAGTGATAACCATGGACACGGGTACGACTACAACCCTGCAGCAGCATGGATGCAAGGAAACAGCTAGACCATTACCCAAAAGGGCACCCAAGAGTGGCAGACCCTAAGCAAAGAACACAGCAAACATAAAGCATCAGTAGCATGTGGTTCATATGACAAAGAAGTGTGCTTCTGAGGCTCATATGACAAAAAATCTAGCATACCATCTGTAGCATGGGCATTTAATTTAAAAACTGATTATGTAATCAAGCTTATAATCAAAGCCTATAAACTATCAAAAGTTCTGTAATACATTGATTGGCGGAAACGGATGAGGTAAAAACTGTAGGTCAATGGAACTACAATAGCTCACAAACACCAGGTAAAGTAAATTCATCCATGTGTAGGAAAAGGCGGCCTATAAGCGAGATAGTACTCTAGCAAAAATTCTAGCATACCATCTGCAGCATGGGCATTTAATTTAAAAACTGATTATGTAATCAAGCTTATAATCAAAGCCTATAAACTGTCAAAAGTTCTATAATACATTGATTGGCGGAAACAGATCAGGTAAAAACTGTAGGTCAATGGAACTACAATAGCTCACAAACACCAGGTAAAGTAAATTCATCCATGTGCAAGAAAAGGTAACCTATAAGCGAGATAGTACTCTAGCAATGGCATCACAACAACTCACAAGATAAATTTTCCTGAGCAAACAGTAGCCGCTTAAGCACATATCTGGGAAGGAGCTGCAATACCTGCGGATGGGTTGGAAACGACGATAGCAAGGACGCCCAGACAGGTATGTATCTTCTTTTATAAGGTTTTCTTATACTTCATTTTGGTGTGACAAAAACCATCCAGGTATGAGCTTTCGAGCTTTAATCCATTCAGTTGCCTGCATAAATCAGTTGCTTCAGTTTCCTTGGGCTCTATCATATAACAAAGAATAGAACAATATAGAAGATTCTCTACCAGAGCTGTAATTGTTAGCAAATATATGCTTTCTCAGATAGAGTTCAGAAAATTCAAAAACACATGTGATGCAAATAAAGGTTGGGAGGAATTCTTAGTGCATCAGGCCAGTATTCAATAGAATAACCAAGGTCAAACAGAAAATCATTCACGATCTGTAGCATATGTGATAGTAAAGATGTATATCCACAAGGAAATAAGCACTGAATAATAAAACAAGGATGATTTGACAGTACCTTGCTTTCAGGAATTTCAATTCCAACCAAAACTTGCTCCTCTACACCTGCAAGCAGCCACCATGCATCAGAAACTCACCTACCATCGCACCAAAACAACAAGCGGGAGAAGGGAAACACAACATTGCACAAACAAAAAGGCCATCAAGATGGGTTACGTGCCTGCTCGCAGAGTTCTCGTCGGACACGTAGCCTAGGCTCCCAATAGCACCGACGAAGAGGTCATCCTAGGCGGTGGCAGCGGCCAAGCACCCCCATCGCTGGGCACCATCTCCTTCTAATCGGGTTTAGTCCAACTACGAAAAACAGATGCTGAAACTTCAATGGTGGTGATTTGCTTGGTGTGCTTTTGCTTGACTCCTTTGGTCACACATTTTCCTTTGTCTCCTTTTGATTTGTTGGCTTGATTGCCAAGATAATCTA